AAAAGAATAAGAATAATCTAATAATAATGATAACAACAAAATAAAGACATATTCAGTAACTACAGCTTTCAGCTAAAGGTTATTGCCAGCTTATGAAATAGGGAAATAAATATCTCAATTTCATTTCCCTCCCTTCCTTACCATCTGAAGCTAAGCAGAAGCCAGACACTGAAAGAGTTCTTTCAGTGAAAATAAAGAGAAGTCAGGGTAAAAACTCTTAAGTCTCCAAGGACACCGAGAAGGCATACAGGGAAGGCATGCAAAATAATACCTCAACAAACTTTATAAAGCAAAAATTACCATGATTCCAAACCAAAGAAGGACAGTGTGATACCATAAATTAAATGTACTCCTGCACACAAATACAAAATGAAACATTGGCAAACCAAACTCAGCAGTATATAAAAAAGGTAATGTATCAAAGCAAATCTGTATCATTCTAGAAATATAAAATAGGCCCAAAATTAGAAAACTAATTAACATAATTGACCAAAATAGCAGATCAAAGGAGGGAACTCACAAAATCATGAAATTTAATAAGACAACTATTTTTGATAAAAGGTCTTAATAAGGAATAGATTGATACATCCTTAATATGAGGAAGACATCCACAAAATATCTATAACAAAATCATACTCTATGGAAATATAAAGACATTTCATCTAAAATGAGGAAGAAGTCAAGCATGCCTGCTTTCATGTTTATTATTTAGCATTATACAGAAATTCTAATCTGTACATTAAATAACAATAGAAAAATAAAAGATACAGATTAGAAAGCAACAAACAAAACTATTGTAATTCATACATAACTGATTATTTACAAAAAAATTCAGAAGTCTAAAACTATAAGAATTAATAAGTTTTATAAGATTGCCAAACAAAAGACAAATATGCAAAATTTCAACTGTATACTAGCAAATAGTTAGAAGGTACAATTTTAGAAAATCTAACATTTAAAATAACAAAAAATTAGGTACACATCAATAAGTCTAACAAAAGACATACAAGATTCTCATGTACAAAATTAAAAGGCTGAAACAAAAGACTTTAAAGAACAACTAAACAAAGGAAGAGATACACTATGATCATTAATAGAGAGACTCAATATCACAAGAAATGTGAAATTTCCCTAAACTACCTTATAGACTTCAAACAAGTCCAAACAAACACTGGCAAAAAATTTTGCTTAATGCAACTTTAAAATGGATAAGAACAATCAAGTGTCAGTCAACATTGAACTAAAGGAATAGGCTAGTGATTGGCTCTTCTAGATATTACGACCTTTTTCTTAAACAATAGTAATCTGCAATTTGTGCTATTTATAGAGATAGTCAAATAGAACAATGGATAGAAAAAGAATCCAGAATAGATTCTTTATATGTGGAAATCTATATAGGACAGATCATGCACAAATAATTGGGAAAATATGCCAGAAAATTATTTACCCATTTAGAAAAAGAAATATGGATACATTATAGGCTGAATATCTGTGTCCCCTTATGTTGAAGCCATAATCTCCAATGAGAGGGTATATGGAGATGGAGCCTTTAGGCAACAATTAGATTTAGATAAGGCCATGAGTTTGAGGCCCCATGTTGGGATTAGTATTTCTGTAAGAAGAGGAAAAGACACTAAAGCTTGCTTTCTCTCTCTCTCTACCATGTGAGAACACAGTGAGAAGGCAAGTAAGGTAGAGAGGCCTACCCGGAGATGAATTTGCCAGAATTTGATCTTGGACTTTTCAGCATCCAGAAAAGTAAATGTGTGTTACTTAAGTTACCCAAAGATGATGTTTGCAATACACATAATAACAAAGGATTGAATCTAGAGTATAAAACAAGCATATGTGAATCATTATAAAAAAGAAAATGATAGAAGATAGTGCTGAACAAGCACTCCCACAAGAAAGGAAACATTAATGACTAATAAGCACGAAAAGATGATTAACCTGGGCAACCAAGGAAATACCAATAATACATCATTTTACATGCATGTACATACATACATGTGAATCAGTATGACACGTGCAAGTGGAGCAGTAGGAAGTGCCACATTTCACCAATGGGAGGATCAGTTTGCAAACTGATATATACAGCCACTGTATAAATGACCTTGTCGATACCTAGAAAAGTTGAACACATGTATACCTTATCTCTATCAAGATTATGCCCTAGAGAAACAATTGTACATGTGAACCAAGAGATGTATATAAAAATCTTCTCTATGATATTAACAGATCCACAAAAACTAATACCAACTTGACTGTCATCAGCATAAGAATGTTAATTTGTTATATATTATTGCAAAGGAATATTATATAGCAATGAAAATATCCAAATCACAGTGTTCTATTCATCTATATTGTCAAATACTATAATCAACACTGACTGGAAAAAAAGTCAAAGAACTAAGAGAAACAGAAAAAGACAAAATCTAAATCTATATCATCCTACATATATATCACAATATAAATAAAATTTAATACAGTATTTTCCTCTTGAACTAAGAGGAAATGTGAAAACCATTTAGGGTGAGCAAAAGTATTGGCAATGTTCTATTCCTCAGTCAGTGGGTTTATGTCTGTTCATTTAATTATTCCTTCATTAATCTGTGCATATTATACTGTATTATATACATCTATACAATAAAGTTTAAACCTTGGCAAATCTCAGGTATTTATGTTCAGTCTCTATACATAGTCATAATGGAAGAAGTCACATAGACTCAAATAATACCTTTAAAATATATGAAAAATCTGTATTTCTGTTCTCAGGACCTCCCATCTCCTGTGGCTATTCAATGGCCTAGATAAATGCCCAGAAGTTTTTCTCTTTAGTAAATAATCTCACATTCTTCTTAACTCTATAGAAAGCCAATATTTTCCAACAATGGACAGAAAATTCTCAGTCCCCAGAAAGTGCCACTATGGCCAGAAGGTCTCTGCAGGCTGCCATTCTGTATTCCTGTCCCTTGGGAACCTGCTTAAGGAGGTGATACCACCAGGGAGCAGTCATTTCCAGATGTTTATCAGCCTCTATGCACACAGTGTTCTCTTTCCACAAAGGTTTCAAAAGACAATTCTTAGCCAGATCCACACTGAGCTTTCTAACGACCTCTTCAGCGATTTTATGGAATCCATTAGACAGTGGAATGAATCTGACCTAACATTCCTATGTTCATATATGAATATACCACAGTGAATCTCACCATGTATATCCATAAGTTACTAATTTAAAAGAAAACAAGTATAAGTAATAGCAGAAAGATTAGAAGAATAGAGGAAGGGAATGGGGTGGGAGGATGAAAGGGATGTACTGGGGACTACATTAGAACAACTTATATTCCATGCTTTTATAATTGTGTCAAAATGAATTCTGTTGTCATATATAACTAGAAAGAACCAATAAAAATATATGTGTGTATATATAAATTGATATCTCACTAGATGGTGTGACAAATCCCTCCCTCTCCTAAGTCCAAGGCTAGCTGTGACTAGCTGTGTCTCAGTTTCTGTAACAAAAGGAACTTGGTAAAATGCCCCGGTGAGAGGGTTAATTCTTAGGCCACTTATACCTATAAGCAGGCTGAAAAACTTTTCTTTAAAGCTTCTCAGTTGCCTCCTGATTTTAGCAATATATCTAGGAGAAAAATCCTTGCTCTCTCCAGCATCCCCTTTTGGGTTTACATATATCATAATCTTACCAGAGAAAGAGGTCTGTTCTATCCAAATATCGCAAATCACTTTAATTTTATCAACTGCTATTCTCTATACCTTCTCTAGCTTCGTCTTTTCTTTCCCAGGATCATGACAATGGCTAGAAGAACTCCATGCTATGCTCTCCTTATCTGTATAGCAGTACTAAGCTGGCACTAGTACCTTCTGGCATGTGGAAAGAGGGTGTCCCATAGAATAGCCAAAGTGAGGATGAGTCCCCATTGATAAGAAGTGGCTGAGGGTGGGGGGTATTAGTGAGAGTATCTGGCCACCGGGCAGAGCTTTTGTGTATTCTCTTGTTGAACAGAGTTGAGTCTTTCACTAAATAGGTTCCAAACTCAAGCTGGACCAGTGTCATACATAAGTAAGAATGATGGTGCTTGATCCCTTCAGACACTATGCTGGCCTCTAAAGGGCTAATATTCAGGACAACAAGCTAAAAAGTTATCTCAAGGAATTTGGATGGATGAAAGAAACAAGAGGCTTTAAAATATCAATTATCTAAGAAAATCCAACTTTCCCTTCTGTTTTTGGAATGTCAACACATCTTAGCAGGAGAGGGTAAAGTATGTGAATGGAGTGAAAATATTGCCTTTGGGATTCCATGTTTAAGATGTAAACATGGACACATGGACCAGTATAGAGCACCTCTGTCTTCTCTCCTGGGCTGTAAGTTGGATTTGACCTTCTAGAGATCAGTTTTGCTGTTTTGTGTATCTTCTTTTCGACCTCCTCTTAACTTTGCTTCTGTAAAGTTTACATTTAAAAATGTGGTGCCAAGTATTATCAACCATTTCTACTTCTAGTGTTAAAGTTGAGCCTTTGATTAGCGAAGTGTTGTTGAGTCAACCTGAGAACACAGGCAAGAACTTGGTCTCTCAGACCCAGGCTGCAGAACACAGTGAAGAAGATTCTAAGACCCACTTAGCACAAACAACCCAAGAAAGCTCTAAAGGAAATGTGGTGAGGAGGACAGATATCTGCTATCCATTAGGGAACAGCTAAAAATCAGAAAGCTAAAGAGAAAATGGGATTCTTTAATATAGGTTTCATGAATAATTCTTGGAAATTTCAAAATGAAACTTGATAAAAAAAAAACCACTCTGGAAAGGCTCAAAGAGGTTCTAGAATAACATCTATAAAAATATAAACATGAATTTTATACTTTGCACCCCAAATAAAATAACATTAGCAATTAACATCTGGGAGAAAAAACATGTAATCTGTTTTCGGGCTCCCCAAAAAGAACTCCCACCCCCCCAATGAAGAAATGTTGGACTCACGTTAGTGACATATTCAATATCCTTCCAAAGGATGCACTCCCTGGGGAAATCAGCCAAGTCTAAGAAGTGATCCACCACCACTTGGCCGATTAAATCGTGGCGAGAGAACCTGTCAAAGTCGTACACAGAGAAGTGAAGCTTCCGAGCCTCAAGGTCATTGTAGGGAACTGGGAATAAAAACACTTCATCAAACACAGGGTTCAGGGTCTTTCTGTGAACTTTAGTCTGATGTTTTGTTTTCCGATCAGGAAGCAAATAGATCTTGACGTAAGGATCTGAAGTCCCAGAAAAGTCCTTGGCGGGCAAATTGACAGCTTTGTGAATCTTCACTATGAGCTGCTCTAAATCGCAGTCATATTTTAAAATGAAGTTCAGTTTCCCACAAGCTTTGCTGTTACTCCTTCTCCCATCATCATTATCCAATGACCTCTGCTTATATAATTCAGGTTTAATTCTACCAATTCCAGTCAACTGTTCCTGTTTTTGAAGCTGCTGGATATTGAAGTCCGGGTTTGACAGGTTGAGTTGTCTTCGGATTGAATTATGCCTTAAATGAAGAGCAAAACAGGGTGAAGTTATAACCTTATTAGCTACGGGTCTTTCAGAAACTTGTGTCTGGAATGTAGGTAGCTCTTATGTTATGTTAAGAGCTTAGATCTGTGGGCTTTTTTTTTTTTTTTTTGGCCTAAATTCAAAATGCTCATCAATGTGAGTAAGCTGCTCCCTAAGGCTTGAAGCTCAAAATTGAGGCTGGTATCAGGAAATGAACTTACTAACATGTGACCTTGAAGCTTTAAAGGTTTAATGCACTTTCTAAACTGTCTAATGTGCCATTAAAGAAGCTTATCTGGCTGGTGGAATGTAAAGATTTGTATGGGCTACTTTAAAAATGAAATTATTCACCCTTATAGATAATATCCTGAAATTGAAATACTTAGCTAAGTGTTGTCTTTAAAAGAATGAATGCATCTTTCTCAAAATTGCATAGAATTTTTTGTCATTGACTTACAAACTTATAGTGAAGTAAATGAATCCTTTCTGGTTCAATCAAATAATTTCATCACAAGAACACAGTTTTTGCTCATGTAACTAGGATGTGTCTGCCTACAGGGATCGTGCTGACTTTGACAGGTACAAGAGACAGTGTTGAGATTGTGTTTTTGCTGTGCCATATGGGTGATTAGCGATCAGGAGGATTCATTTCTGAAATAAATAATAATGGCACCAAAATTAAAGATGAGCTACTATAAATGAAGATAGGGATTAAGTTAAAGAAGCTTGGATGTTGATATTTGCAAATTAAATATTTGTCAGTGGAGTCTACTCTTCATCCTATCTACTTTTCATCCTATAAGCTTATTGGTTTGAGTTAGAAGTTTCCCTAAAATTCTCTTTAAAACCTGTTTTACCTGTGTGGATCCTCACAAGTTGAAAAGGTTTTTGTTGTTGTTGTGGTTGTTTTTTTTTTTTTTGTGTGTGTGTGTGTGTACCAGGGATTGAACCCAAAGGCACTTTACCACTGAACCACATCCTCAGCCCTTTTTTTTAATTTTTAATTTTGAGATGGGGTCTTGCTAAGTTGGTTAGGTCCTTACTAAGTTCTTAGGCTGGCTTTGAACTTGTGATCCTCTTGCCTCAGCCTCCCAAGCTTCTGGGATTACAGATGTGCACCATTGCACCTGGCACAAAGTTGGTTTTAGGTTATTTTTGCTTGTTTTCAGCTCCAAATTGACAGTCTTTATATTATGTTATATGTAGCTACTCAATAAAATAGTCTGTGGTAAAAGGGACAGCCAGGATATCTCTGAGGGACTAGTAAAGAGGTGGAGAGGCAGAGCAAACATTGGTATTTATCTTTAATTCTTTTCTTACAACTACATTGTGACATGAAGGTGTGATAAACAGACCTCAAAACATGGTTGAAATTATTCAACCTCACAGATGTCACAATGAACATTTCTCTTCCTCCAGAAATATCCTCCTGATCACTAATTATCCATCTGGTATAACAAGAGCACTGTCACAGAGCTGTCACTTGTATTTGACACCAAACATAGTCCCCAACAAGCAGATACACCCCAGTTACAAACATTCCTTAATGTGCAAAAACCATGTGGTCTGAGATTTCAATTTCTTCCAGAGAAACCCACATTCTTCAGGTTTCTCTGCGTCTCATGATTTTGGGGGTCCAGGAGGCAAATGCTGGTAAGTGACCAAACTGGCCTTCCACATTAGTACAGCTAGGCCATTCCCTTGTCTAGAATTAGAACCAGTGTGGTGCTAGAGCAGAGCTTTTATCTTGCTCTGTCAGCCTCTGAGGACAAAAAAAGTTGTCAGGAAGCAACAAAGGCAAGAAGAGGATGGGACCAGTGCCATCTTCCTCTGTTACTGATTTTTCAATATGGGTTAGATCCAAAAAGGGCCCAAGCTTTGGTACTCAGTCAGTTCCCACAAACCTGAGTGGGGATTAGTTAATAGGACTAACTAGTGGGGATTTGTATGGACTCTTCTAAGTGCTGTTTAGTTAGTGGTACTGATTTACATAATATAAATGCACCTTCAAGACCCACTGGATGCTCCTTCTTGGATTGGAGTCTGATGTAGCAACAATTCTATGTCTCCCAGGCCCAGCTACTCTGTGGCCCTTTCTTCCCTGGGTGGCTGCTGAGCAGAGTCTCTGTGAATGTCACCTTTGAGGGTTTTTTTTGGTTTTTTAAACTGGCTATGTATTCATCACATCTCAGCAATGTTTTGTTTTAGATCTTGTCTGTAGGACTAATTCTACCAAGTAAATTTAAATTTAAAACACATGGATTTGGCTACTTAGAAATGGAACATATTCTGTTGCACATGTGCATTTTTCTTAGACACAAAATGTGCAGAGAAATTAGTACTACATGTTCGGACCTTGCTAACCACAATGGATTSCCAGCAGGTAAAGGGAGTGAGGTGGAGAGGGCATAATGGATTTGTACTTCAAAGGCCAAAATAAAATTTCATTCCAAGTACCTGATTGCCCATGAAGACCCATATTCAAAATTCCAATATAACCAAAGATTCTTCTTAAAAACCAATCACAAATATGAATACTATTACCTACCAAATGTATTACATGCTAATTTATTTCCCAATACTTTTTTCCCCATTCAGAATTACTCCTGGGCAAATAGTTGAATTTTAGGTACTGGCATAAAGCAGATAGCAAAGAATAACCAGGCACAGCAGTTTCTCAATGCCTGGGGCTCCTTTCAGGCGGCACTGAGTTTACGGGAGTTGGGGGAAGGGGTAGAACAGAGAAGTTCAGAACAGCCAGAGAATCTGGGTAACTTGTAACTTCCTGCATAACAGCTAGAGCTCCAGGGGCTGAGAGATGAGAAAGTAGATCACGAAGGCTGCCCCAGGGACACAAAGGAGAAGATGAGGTAGAAGAAATTGAAAATCAATATTCTATAGCTTTTATAGGCTACTGAAATGGAAGCAGGAACAAAAAGCAAATCCAAAGCAAGAGGGAAGAATGATCCGAACATAGTGTTATGAACTGAGCTCTCTCTACCCCAAAAGAGGGGGTTTCTAAATGGTCAGTGGAGGTGGTCTTTGAGTGTCGTATACAAGAGGTTCTTCAGGACCTGGTCTGGAACTTTAATATCACAGAGTGACATTGATTATGATATTGAGTGATCATGGTAAGGGGGAATCTGTGTTCAAAACACAGTTTTCTGAGTAGATCTGGGGATCCTGGATTTTGGTGTTCTCAGGATTCAAAGTGCACAATAAATGGAAAGAGAAAAAAGTAAACCTCAAGGATGGTGGGAGAGGGAGGCAGAAAGCTGAAAGATAGTCTCCTCTGTAAGTAACTTGCTACAGAGAAGCTGGATGCTGGGGTTTAAACTCAGCTTCCTCCACCTCTCATTCTCTCTCAGGGGCAGCAGAAGCAATTTCCTATCATGGAAGAGACAGGGAAAAGAACTTAAAGACTGAACTTGGCTGAGAAATGAAAAAGACCTGAACTGGAAGATTTGTGGCTGAGCCTGTTGAAAATTTGCGTTCAAATATAATTAACAAATTTTGTAAAGTGGGTTTCCCATAATAAACTCCAAAACATAACTTGTACACCTGACGCAATCTAAGCCTTGTGCTGAGCTGCAGCCATGGGTAAGGAAGAGGCAGGAGCCCAGAAACAAAAAGGTTTTCCTTCTTTCCTTTTCTCAAATGTGAATTAACCAGTCTCAGCTCTAGTCTCAGGCCCTGACTCATCACCCAAATAGCCAACTATGTCCATCAGATCTTAAGAAAGAGGACATTACTGTAATTCAACAAATGTGAATATGCAAAGGAAGTGTCAAGTGGAGCGGAAGTTATAAAGAAGCACAGCCCATGCCTTGAAGGAAATAACAGGTCAGGCAAGCGAGGAGATAGTCCTCCAGGATCTGTAAAGCAGGGCAGATGGGGATAAGTTAGTATTTAGGGGTTAGAGAGCCTGAGAGCAGAAAGGGAGAATGAAAGTCCTCTGGCTTAGGACATTTTCATGGAGCAGATGGTACTTGAGTTGGGCTTGCCTATTTAATTTAGCCTCATCCTTATTCTCTTCCAAAGTGATGTTGTAGACGTCCAGAGAGAAATTGACTAATTTTCATCTTGGTCTCAGCTCTTTAAGAGGATCTTCAGCTGTTTGACTCCAGTTTTCATATAAGCCCAGCTATCATATATATACCCCTTTACATATATGTCCACCACATCTCACATTCCAGGCTCTATAAGAACCAGTGTTTAGAATTCCCAACATCCCTTTCATCTCTGGGTTTAAGGTACAACCATGGACAGGTGCACTCTCTTCCGTGTTCCCTCACCTCAGTGGCCTCATCTCAGAGGTGAAACCCGACCTATCCCTTCCCTGGTTCTGGGGTACTAGTGTTGACCAGGCTTCAAGGTCCAAGGAGAGACAAGACAGAATCAAACTGTAACTTCAGAACTATCACTGATTCCTTGACTACATTCTAGTCAAGGCAGGAAGTGCGGAAACACTGGAGACAGGACGCTGTTTATCTTCTCTGAAACTCCCATGGTGGTGGAGAGGCAAGAGTTTGGTTGTTCTAAACCATAGCAGACATAGAAAGGGAAGAACTAGACAGGTGCTGTTAATACACTTCAAGGATAGAAAGGGAATGGGAACCTGAGATTTTCTTGGCTTGGGCTTCTCTAGTGAATGAGATAATGAAGGCATCAAGCATCAGGCCTTGGGGCCAGTAGAGTAGTGGGGTCAAGGGCAATTCAATACACTGAAGTATGACCTGCTTCTTCACACCATTTCCCAAGTTAAACAGGTTAGAAACCTTGGTGTCACTGTCAAATACTATATCCCCCATAACCAGCAAGACTTTTGCCCACCAACACCTTATCTAAAGTCACTCATATCATCTGTGTCTTTCCATTCCCACTGTTCCCATGACAGGCTTGGACTAGCCTTCTGTATCCACTCTTTGTCCTATCCCGCATATCTTATGCATTCAAATTAATCTTCTAAAGAACAGTTTGAACACTTCAATGTTTGTAACTGATGCTTTTCTTTTGGGTCTTTAAAGGGAGGACTATATTTTTTTCTCTCTAATACCAGAACCTAATAGAGAATTTGACACATAACAGATGCTTAGTACATGTGTTTATAGTAAGTATACAAACACCATGAACATAACAATTTCTGAAAATTAAATCCCAGTAGAGAAAATACACATTTATATCTAGTTTCAGGGTCTCATGGAAGTTGAGATAGGTCTAGGCAACTTCCACTTTTTAAGTTGTTAGTTTATTAAAAATCTGAAGAAATAACTACAAGTGGTTCAAAAGCATTTTGCTCTCAACACAAAAACATAGGTTCACAGAAACGTGCTACTCATGATTACAACATTTAATCTTTGTGTACTACTTATGAGAGTTGTGGCCAGTAAAGAGACCCAAGTTTAAAATGTGATGGTTATCTTATTCTTTCAATCCTGTCATTGCATCTCTGTATGTCTGTGGATTGCTTAATTCAGAAATAAGGTCAAAAGTCTAAATGGGAGACTCTTAATGAATGTGAAGCCTGAGAAAAATGGCCTTCTGCCAGTCTCACACCATTATGGGCCCTACTCAATTTATACTTCTGGCCATTTGCCATTCTTGACAGCAGAACAAGAGAAAAGCAGCCTGCTATTGATCAATGTATTCTATCAGTCATTCATGGGAAAAAAAAAAATCTGCTATACACCAGGCACCAGGTACAGAGAAAGAAACAATACAGATGTGGTCTCTGAGTTGACAGAACTCTTTATCTAGTGGGGAGTATAGGCAATAAATAATCACATAGAAATAGTGTTCAATAAAACAAGGCAACATGAGAACTTAAGAGTGGGAGAGAGTGCAGGACAAAATGCATCTTTCAGGTGGGGTGTCAGGGAGACCTTTGTGGGCAGGAGATATTTTAGCTAGGACATTCAAGTTACAAAGGATCCAGGAAAGGCAAAGATAATGGAAAAGCATTCCTGGCTGAGGGAACAGTGGTGTGAAGGTCTCTAGGTAGCAGGAAGTTTGGTATACTGAAGGAGGCGGGAGAGATCCGGCTAGTGTAGCAGGACTGTGATGAGCTTTCTATAGGCAATGCCTCCTACAGAGTCCTCGTAAACAGTGTACACTGGGGTTTGCAACATGGAAGATCTGGTAGGAGGAGAGGCTCTGCCAATACCACGCAAGGCCTTCACAGACATGTTAAGAAGTTTGTGATACGACCAGTCAGTTTTCATAATACCAAAGTGTAATACAGGAAATTTGAGAAGGCTTAAATAACCAGGATGGACTTTCATCTTGAGACATGAATGAGGAAATGAAYTTGACAGCCTTTCAATGTTCCTTCTATTTTGGAGAACCAGAGATTTTTGTATACTTGGGATAGAGTCCTCTATAATAAAGCTCTGGTATTGAAAAACTCTTGAGAAATGAAGATATACACATTTCCAACACATTAAATCATTAACAGAGAGGGATTTCACCCAAGTTGAAAAGAATTAATAGGAATTTTAGATAGTTTTAATAGTAATTGAGCATAGAATCTTACATGCTTGGTCTTGCAACAACAGAAAGTCATCCTGACCAGAAACATTTTGAAGATAAAACAAGGTTCATCTTTAGGGTATTCCAAATGGCACTGGTATGAGCCATATGAATCCAATTTGAAAAAAGTTAAGATTTCCAGTGTAAATGCTATGACAGAAGCTATGGCAATCATGGTGACAAGGAGGATGTCCTTAAACGGGAACCTAAGTCATATGCGCAACTGGGCCAAAGAAGGTAAAAGAAATAATGGCTGGCAGAACAGACTACTCAGGGTCATTTCAACAGAGTACTTTTCCCCTTCTCAAATATGTTACTTAAAAAAAGAATGTTAAAAATGTTTTGGAGATGAAGGAAATTTCATTTGCTTTCCCCCTTTGTCAGGAAAAAGGTTTGTGTGTGTGTTCTTATAATGCAACACAATCACTAAAGAATCAGAGGACCATACACTACTAGACAAAGATATGTATCTGCAAACAGAACCCACAAAACTAGGTCAGTAGTAATTTAAGTATGAATGTTTTAAATGCATAAAGATGCAAATTCATATTTAATACTAGGTCAAATGCAGCTGGGAAGAATTTAGTTTTCTAACAGCAGTTCAGCTATTGCTAAACCTGATTTTGGTCAWCAGAAAAGATAATTTAATTGCATGTCTCCCAAACTAAAATAAATCTAAATGTAAAATTCATTTTACAGGGATAATACCTTTGCTTCCCCCCCGCCTCTCTCTCTCTCTCTCTCTTTTCTTCTACCCAATTTCTACAAATCAGTAGGGAAGATAACAACGTTTTTTCTCTTTTAAGCAAATTATATTTTTGATACACAGGGTACTCATATATTTTTCTAGAATAAATATGATAATTATAGTGATATTATTGGTATAAGTTTATTACAATTATATGGCAGAGTGCTCAGATCAAATCTAATAAAAACAGTTTTATCACCCTGCATTGGAGGAACCCAGACAAGATAAATTACATGCAGAAAAGAACCAAATAGAAGACAATTCCACTGGAATCCTCATCTAAAAGGCTCCACATCTTAAAGTACTGAGAGGATTTTATTATGAATCTGCACCACTGCATGAACTCCATGATGACATCAAACAGAGTTCTAGTTATATTTAAGTCTTAAATCTGAAGAGAAATCCTAGTGATAAAATCTGAGGGTTTCTTGTAAATCAAATGGCAAACAACCGCCCATTTCCTTACAGAGGAATATTTTAAGTTTAGCTCTTTGATTCAGAATTGGAAATGATGCTAAAACAGGTTTCTGAAAAAATTAAACTGTAAACTGTCATATTCCATCCCCCTGAATGTGAATGAGCAGAGCCTCTAGGATAAACTTGATTAACATAGAAAAGGGTAAAATCTTATTTCTGGTTCTACAGAATAAAAGATTTCTTGAAACACCCCCAAACTGTGTTCATACTGTCCAAATAATAGCACATGCTATTCTTTTACTACTCAAGCAAATGTTCTCATTTTAAAGAAAGTTGCTTCCGTGTTGTTTTTTTTTTTTCCTAACATCTCTTATTAAAACTAGGCTGTTATATCCAGTGGTTTAGAATTGGCTGTTTAGCCTCAAACCCACCTTTCTGCAATCTGAGTTGAGAACAGGCCTGTCTCAATGACAACAATGATAATAATAATAATACAAAAAGCAAACTGGCAGCACTTACTAGGTGCAGATCTACAGTGTATGTTGTCATTTCCTTTTAAAAATCACCTGAAAGTTGGTATTATTTTACTTCTCACATAAAAGAGGAAATGGCACATATGGACGTTAAGTAATTTGTTCAATGTTACACATATAGGTAATAATAGGTCAATTCATTAGACCTAAGAGCCCATGATTTTTATTACTCTCCTTCATTATTTCTCTACTGTTTAAGAGCACAAAGCACCCAAACAATAGAAAGAGAGTGACCTAAGGTTTCTAGGTACTCTGTAGGCCTCACAAAGGCTGGAGATGGACAAAGACCTCCAGCTACATTGTGGAGTCTTAAGACAGACTATTTGTGACTCCTAGGCCAGGCCAGGCCAGAAACACAATGAATAAATTCTGCAGCTCTAGGAGGACAGCAGAGAACAGTAGTGAAGGAAGAGCTCAGGTTCTAGTGTTGGTTAAACCAGGGTTCAAATCCTGACCTGGGTGCTTGACTTTGTTACTTAATCTTCTCAACTTAAGTTTCTTCTACTATAAAATAAAATGATAATAGCATCCATATCAAAGTTTTAAGTTATAATAAAATAATGCATATAATGTTTATACATTATACTAGATACATGATAAGTTCTAATAATGTTAGCTATTACTTTTATGGACTTGGTAGAGACTAAGTAGCACTCAGGAACTAACTCCTCACAGGGAGCACAGTTTTCCCATACTCATATTTCTGATACTGAATGGACATCTAAAAGGTTACATGCTTCTTGGCTATTCAATGCCATAACTGACAAAAAAGGGAAGGGTGGTCTCTGCCTTGCATATCAGAAAGGAAGTGGGCATTACTGACCGAGCCGATGAGGTTGGCTCTGTAACTTGGCGCTGCACACGGACGCCATGGGCACAGTTCTCCTGGACCCCCGGCTGGGTGGAGAGGGGAATGTCAGGGGAGGTGTGGCTGATCTTCATGGAGGAGTCAGGGCAGGGTGTGGGTAGATCTAGGAAGTCCTCACTGTTCTCCTGCTCATTGGTCTCTGTGTCCGTGCAGTTAAAAGGTTCCTGGTTGTCGTCTTTGCTACCAGAGAGTAGGCCTCGTTCTCGCCATGGAACCCAGCAGAGTTTCCAAGACACGAAGAGAGACACGCCAAAGAGGGCAAGACCACAGGCAGTGACCACAAGGGTCAGCAGGCTCACTGAGATATCTGAAAAGAAGCAAAGATCAAAGGTCAGTGTGATTGTGCTTCCAATATATATCCATTGCACTGTGTGAGAAGAATCACAGTTTCATCCATTTATTCCTAAGGAGGTGATTGCAGGAGGCCAGGCTGGGGGATGCTGCAGGGTCACCTGATTCTGGGGCAGTAACAATGAGAATTTGGACGCAAACCAAAGGACCAGCAAAAGCAGAGAGAAGGTAAGATAACACGCAGGATGTGTATAGAAACAATGAGAAGCTTGTTCCGCAAGTTGATTGAGACCCTATCCTACATGCAGCACAAATCATTAACATTTTCTGAGCAGGGTACTTGCAATTGTTATTTAAAATTACTGTGTCATCTCAGAGAGCTATATAATGCAATTTGGGAATTAAATTACAACTTTTTAAAACAAGAGACACTAGGGTGTTTTTTTTTTTTTTCACTTTTGCTATTAATTTTAAAAGATCTAAGCAAAACAGAGCTCAAGGTGGGATCCATGATGGCAGGCCAGAGGGAGGCAGCATTCTGTGTTGCTCTGAGACCTGGGTCTCAACTAGTGGGAATACTGCTTTGCAGACAGCAACAGAGGACCCCTCCACAGCTGATCCTGGCACAAGAATCACAGCCGCCATGCTGCACAGGGCCCCAGGCCTCAGCATTAGAAAAGGACTCCCTACTCCCAGACTACTAGCCCACGCAGGTCTTGCGGGTGCCTCAGAAGGACCACCAACATCAGCAACAGCACAGAATTCCCAGACGCCTCGCAGGAAGGACACTCAGCCACTACCCATGCACAGGAACTTCGGCTGCCACTCCTGTGTGGACCCCCATCTACTAGTGTGGGGCTCCCCTGGTCGCCTCCTTCTTGGGACTCGACAGCTACTGCCATAGTCCCCTACTCAGGGTAGCCTGCCTGCACCTAGGGACATCACAGGCTCTTCAGAAAGCCGACAGTTGCAACACTGCATCATCTCTGAACATATTACACAATGCCATGGCCCAGCTCCCCCCACCCAACCTGACACCCCATGGTTGAACGCAGCTGCCTCCATCCTGGATCACCTCCATCACCATCTTTAGTCGGGGCAACTACCAGTTTGGAACACCAGATAGCCAGGTACCCATAATTTTCTAATTCCCCCCAATTCCCAGCAGCCGCTACATCAGCAGAGTGACTGTCCAATACAAACAGCCCTCTGGGACAGGTGCGCAGCCACCAGAGTGCACACACAAGACACCTGGAGAGAAAGGTTCCTGATTAGAAAGAAGAAAGGAAAGGGTAAGGGAGACACACTTTAGAGACTAATTTAGAGGGCAGGAACTGTGAGGTCTACAGGCAAGATGAGGAGATAAGACCCAGCACCCACGTCAAAGGAGCAGACTGCAAAGGAGATCCTTGAGGTGCAGTCTCCCAACTGCATTGACGGGTGCCACTTCCAGGTGCCCTCCACCCAAGACCAACCCTCACACCCTGGTAACCCCCACCATCCTGAGGGTGGAGATACCAACTAAGAACAGACAACACCATCTATTGGATGAGAAGAGAAGCAGGAAAGATACTTATCTCCAACCAAAACAATCCTTGTTTCTTCCTTCGGAGATTTTTTTTTTCTTCTCTCTCTTTATTCTCCAGTCCTCACAACCCCAACATATATGAAACAAAGTACTTTGCATGAATTAGGACACTGAGGACTGAGACAACTGAATACTATATTACAGTTGCGTTGCATATTCCTTTTGTTTGTTTGTTTTTTCTCCAAATTTTACTATTTTAACATTTTTATTTTTCTTAATATATATGTGTGTTTGTCTTATGTTCTTTACTGTCTTCCCTCTTACTTGTCTACCCCAAATGACTACCTCTCTATTCTCCTGCTACTAACCTTCTTCTTTAGATTTCTCTTTCACACTTCCTAAGATATAATAACTCTATATCCTCATCTCATACCTCCTCAGCATATCTTCCTACACCTCACCCCTGAATCTTTTTCCACCATCAGAAACTGTAAACACTTTTACAAACCTACTGATTATGTTGTAGATAATAATTGAATTCATCATTTCTGTACATTGTGACCAAACTGTAAACGTCTTAACAACAACTATTTATTTTAAAAGCCATGAGAGAAAAGAATCAGATCACATATAGGGGGAAACCAATTAGTTTACGTATAGATTTTTCAACCTAGACCCTAAAAGTTAGAAGATCCTGGAACAACATATATCAAGCTCTGAAACAAAATGGATGCCAACCAGGGATTTTATATCCAGTGTATCCAGCAAAATTAAGTTTGGATTGTATGATGAAATAAAAACCTTTCATGATTAAAAAAAAAAAAGTTAAAAGGATTTATAGCTAGAAAACCTGTACTACAGAACATACTTGGCAAAACAGTCTATGAAGAGGAAATGAAAAACAACAATGAAAATCAGCAGAGGGAGGTATTACACCAAAGGAAAGCTAATCAAAGGAAAAACCAAGTCAAGTTAAATAACAAAAGTGGCTGAAGGAGAAAATGAATACAAATCATTTTCTCAATGATAACCCTGAATGTTAGTGGCCTAAACTCACCAATCAAAAGGCATAGGCTACCTGATTGTATCAAAATAAAAAAGAACCAACATTATGCTGCTTCCAAGAGATTTATTTCACAGGAAAAGATATCCACAGGCTAAAGGTGAAAGGTTGGGAAAAATCATACCACTCACATGGACTATAGAAGTAAGCAGGGGTTTCTATCTTTGTATCAAATAAAGTAGACTTTAAGCTAAAGTTAATCAAAAGGGACAAAGAAGGACATTTCATACTGCTCAAGGGAACTATATACCAACAAGACACAACAATTATAAATATATATGCTCCAAACAATGGAGCATTTATGTTCATCACACAAACTCTTCTCAAGTTCAGAAGTCAAATAGACCACAACACAAAAATTCTGGGTGACTTTAACACACCTTTTTCATCACTAGTTAGATCTTCCAAACAAAAGCTGAACAAATAATACAATCAATAACTCAATAATACAATCATTAACTTAGACTTAACTGACATATATACAATAGTTCATCCTTCAACAAGCGAATACACTTTCTTTCAACAGCACATGAATCCTTCTCTAAAATAAACCATATATTATGCCACAAAGCAATTCTTAACAAATACAAAAAAAGTTAAGATACTACCCTGCATTCTATCAGATCATAATGGAAGTAAATTAGAAATCAATGATAAAATAAAAAATAAAAGCTATTCCAACAGCTGAAAACTAAATAATAGGCTACTGAATGAATAATAGGTTGCAAAAGACATCAAGGAGGAGATTTAAAAATTCTTGGAGGTAAATGAGAACACTAATTCAACATATTGAAATCTCTGGGACACTTGAAGGCAGTACTAAGAGGAAAGTACATTGCATGAAGTTCAGTCCTTTTTTCTTAAAAAAAGAAAAAGTCAACAAATAAATGACCTAAGACTACATCTCAAAGTCCTAGAAAAAGAAGAACAAGTCAACACCAAAAGCAGTAGAATACAGGATATAATTAAAACCAGAGCAGAAATCAATGAAATTGAAACAACAGAAACAACTGAAAAAATTGCAAAACAAATAGTTGGTTCTTTGAAAAAATAAACAAAATTGACAGACCTTTAGCCATGCTCACAAAGAGAAGAAGAGAGAAAACTCAAATCTCTAACATACACGATGAAAAAGGAAATATCACAACAAACAGAAATACAAAAGATAATTAGAAATTATTTTGAAAACTTGTACTCCAATAAATATCGAAGGCACCAGCAAATTTCTAGAGGCATATGAGTTGCCCAAATTGAATCAGGATGATATACATACACAGTGTAAATGGATCAATTTCAAGCAAGGAAATAGAAGATGCCATCAGAAGCCTACTAACCAAGAAAAACCCAGGATCAGATGGATACACAGCTGAGTTCTACAAGATCTATAAAGAAGAACTGATACCTGTACTCTACAAATTTATTTCATGAAATAGAAAAAGAAGGAGCACTTCCAAACTCATTCTATGAGGCCAATATCACCCTGATTCCAAAACCAGGCAAAGACACATCAAAGAAAGAAAACTTCAGATCAATATTGCTAACGAACATAGACACAAAAATTCTCAATAAAATTCTGGCAAATTGAAAACAAAAGCATATCAAAAAGATAGCACACCACGATCAAGTGGAGTTCATCCCAGGGATGCAAGGTTGGTTCAATACACAGAAATCAATAATTATAATTCACCCCATCAATATACTTAAAGATAAGAATCAAACGATCATCTCAATAAATGCAGAAAAAGCATTCAACAAAATACAGCACCCATACATGTGCAAAACACTAGAAAAACTAGGGATAACAGGAACATATCTTTTAAAAAATATTTATTTTTTAAGTTTTTTTTAGGTGGACACAATATCTTTATTTCACATTTATGTGCTGCTGAGGATCGAACCCAGTGCCTCATGCATGCTAGGCAACACTCTACTACTGAGCCACAACTCCAGCCCCAGGAATATATCTTAACATTGTAAAAGCTATCTATGCTAAACCCCAGGCCAACATCCTTCTAAATGGAGAAAAATTGAAAGCATTCCCTCTAAAAATTGGAACAAGACAGGGATGCCCTCTTTAAAAACTTCTATTTAACATAGCTCTTGAAACTCTGGCCAAAACAATTAGCAGACAAAAGAAATTAGAGGGATACACATAGGAAAAGAACTCAAATTAGCACTACTTGCCAACGATATGATTCTATACCTAGAAGACCCCCAAAATTCCACCAGAAAACTTGTAGAACTAGTAAATGAATTCAGCAAAGTAGCAGGATACAAAATCAACACCCATAAATCAAAGGCATTTCTGTATATCAATGACAAATCCTCTTAAAGGGAAATGAGGAAAAGTACCCTATTTACAACAGCCTCAAAAAAAAAAAAAAACACTTGTGAATCAACCTTATTCGGCATTAAAAGAGAATAA